TGAAGCAAACATAGGAGGCGCGCGTGCGCGTAGGGTTTTTCTCAGGTGGAGGGGGGGTCTTGCGTGTGTGTTCGACCATCGATTTCGATGACGGCTTGCAACCTCCCCCAGTCAACGCACAGAATACCGCCCATATACGTAATCACGGTGCAGTAGGAATAAAGTGGGACCTTTGGTCCCACTGGAACCATTCTATCCTTTGGTTCCGGAACATTGCTATTAGGGGCATATAATGAACTAATGGGTTACCGTAATTTCATTAAATAATAGCCACTGTTTCTGCCATAGTTTTATGTCGCAATGAAGTAAATAATTTGGTACTACTTGCCAGACTGTATATATTGAACGCAGAGGGCTAGATTGCCGTAAATCCAAGAACCACTTTTTACCTGTGTTAAATTTAGTTGACCAAATTGTGATTAAACTCACGGTGTGAAGCGCGACATTCGTAGCTCAAGTAGGTAGAACGTTGGCTTGCATAAAAGGATTCCCTCCTATGCGGGTTCGAATCCCGCCGAATACCGCGATTTTTTCACAATTGGATTAACGAAGTTAACCAAATCTTCCAAACTAACTTAAGACCCATGTTAAAGTTCACAGTTTTATTGTAAAAGAAAAACATTTGGAAACAATTTAGAAACCGCAAGATGTTTCTCTTTTATATTAAGTTTTGTTTCGTCAATAGGCACGGCATATCAAGTATAGAAAAAATATTGTTTTAGGGATGTAAACAATGGGAGCTTCACTGCAGATTAAGGTGAATATAGAATGTAAGGAAACATTTCGTCAATACCAATAATTATCTACTTTGAGAGACAAAATAGAGAATGAATAAATTAAATGGTTCAGTTGGATAAACATTGCGAAACTTCTCATGCCAAAATATGAAGGAACTTGTCTCCACGTTCACTGACCTTCAAAGTTGTTTGGCCAGGCCATTTTATATTTTTTATAGGGTATAAAGCACGAAGATTTTCAAGTTCCTTTTTATGCGTTTAAGTGAATTCTTATTGATATAAATTCAAGCGTTACTATGTTTATAACTGTCAGCGCAGATGAAATTAAGACCTACGCATTTAAGAAACTTAAATATATTTTTTTAATTTTGTTTGTTTTTAGCTTAAAAAATTTCATTTAAAGCTGAACGTTTTATTTTTGCAAATGTCGTTTTGATTGGACTTATCCTTACCTTAGTCATAATTTACGCAAGTTATTTGTCTGGCAAGGTGATACATCAATAAATATTTACTCTATATTAAAACATCTCAAATGCAATTTCTCAGTTTTCACACTAACTTCTTATGTTGCCGCTAATGATATTCAAATGCTGAAATTAGATTTCCTTTTCGACAAGTATGCAAATTGCCTACGCAACTGAAACCTTGAACCAATGAACTGCTTATAGGATCACAGTTGCAGTTTATTTGTCTACCCATGCAATGTAGGTTTACTAAAACCGGCAGTTTCCTTTACACCACATGGATTTGAAAAACGTTTTAAGCCTTCAGAGAATTAAATTATCTCATTTCAGCACCATCAGTGTTTTAACTTTCTTAAGGCAGAAATTTTTTTCCTGGAGTACTACGTGAATTAGGGTTCTACCCATCGACCCGAATTTAGCATATGTAAACACTTATAGCGCCCTACCGCCTAGTAAAAATATCTCAAGCCATCCGCATTTCACTAGTTCAGTAAAATGTCGCACAGAATCTAAACGGCAACATTGTGTTTGGTAGTGCTTAACCTACTCGTGCATCATCACCATAGTCAAATACATGCGCAGGCGTAGTTAAATCTAAATGAGTCTTTTCGATTTCTAGATTGAAATGAAGACCGTCAAAACTGTCGTTGCAACATCAGATGAGGAGTCGCCGAAGCGTCGTTATTGTTACATATCCGTGACGTTGCTTTTGTGCCTAAATGGAATATTTTCAATCTGGCAATATTTCCACTTTTCGTATCAGATTTCTCTTTTGAGCGATGAGCTGATACTTATTCGGAATTTCACTCGGACTCGCTTGTCAATCGAAGACGTTTGGAGCCGAAGGAAAAGGTCTGCAAGCCCTGGATATCTATCAGGTATATGTTGAATGAAAATGATACTCGATATCTCCCGCGTATGTAAATAGCATTCATTTTGATCATTATTTCGGTAAAACCAAGTATTGAACATCCAACTGAACATCCATATACTTACTGGCTATCGAATTCAAAGGGATATTCTTAGCTTGCATATACATCGTCCTACAGATAATATCATTTTTTTCTTTTGATTTACGTAATCTTTGTGCGTTCCAATTATATAGATTTGCCTAACGAATGGCTTTTTAATCTTTCCTACACCCAGTTATGCAAAACATTTTTTTGCACTTCACGACATACAAGTAGACCTTTCGAGGTTTTTACCCTAGGTAAAAAGTATTCAACTAACCTGGTAATGGGGCTAGTTTTGAGAGGAATCCTAGGCACACCTTTAATCGACAAATATTTTAGTTATAATTGCCCTGCATACCGTCTGTCGTAGGTTTAAGTCATTTTTCATTTTTTTCTTTTAACCTATTTTCATAAGTATCATTCGTGTTGATAATTTGTTTTTTTTTGAATATTTCTAGATAGCAGTCAACCGCCAGGTCAGGTGAGTTAACATGATCCAGGAAGAGTTGACTTAGAAACTGTTAAATTTTTTCTAAAGCTTTGTATTTTGAGGTATGCATTGTGACTTAGTCACGAAAGGCACAAGAGCAAAACGTAAAATTGTATAGAAGTCATTCGTTACGAAAAGCTTTTGCATTGTAAAGAACATTTGTTAGGCTTTATACACATTCGGAATGATGACCATGACAGTTGCAATCCTAAAATTCACATATGTTTGCTTATCGAGGATCCATCTTACCTTAATCCTCATGGTCTCTACGGACCGCCGTCTGGTCAGAGAATATCGGCAAGTGTATACTGGTTTTATTTACCGATTCTGTTGCTTTGAATTTCACCGGATAATTTTTAAGCATATGACAAAATAATTAATTTGCAGTAGCCACCTTGTTAGTTTTATGCTTTTAATCAGTACTTATTAAATTTCGTCCTCTAAAATACAGAATTCTAGCCATTGTCAAAGCGATAGTAGATACATAGGATGCATAATCGTTTATTAGGAAAAGTAATTCAAAATATATTACAGTTTCCGAGCATTTTAACCAGTCGTAGACAGCATTTAGTGGGAAGTTTGGTTATATAAGTATCTTTAAGGCTTTGCCTTTAATGGGACTCTAATGTGAACTGTTAATATATATCTAAAATGAATGTCGTTGAATTGTCTAATTGGTACAGAATAGAATAAAGGTATTATAAATTTAAAAATATATTTTTATTTCATTTGGTTACCAGCGGGAAGTAATGCCGGGAAGTTATGCAGAGTATATTGAGGGCTTCCATGCTCCCCGAGCAGGAATAATTGGACCACCTGGGCCACCTGGTCCTCCAGGACTTCCTGGACCGAAAGTGAGTCTTTCGTGTCTAATCCCTAATTTTGCATTTTGTTCTGTTTAACATTGTTGAACAATTTAGCTGCAGCATCCGGAGATTTGCAGATTGACTCTTTGTGGCTAAATATCTCTACACACTTTTCGTTAGTACAAAGTTAGTGTCAAGTAAAATATTCGCACTTAAATAGCACATACTGGTTTTTCAAGACTCTTTCTTGCTTGTCACGCTTTTCTATAGTTTACCCCAATAAGCATAAATGTATCAGTTTAATATCAGTAAACAAGTTGCGTTGTTAGTGACACTTAAAATATATAAGTTTAGGCGTGCCTATGCAATGTTCGACCATGCTGCATTGCTAAGTTTTGTGCAAAATTACTAAAACATTACTAGTTCACACTGAACAATGAAGATAAATGTGCTGACTTGATGGGGGTAAGCCAATTACGCTTGCTTGTTTGTATGGTGCCTTGTTCATCACGCACAGTAGTAGACATTAATCTGCTTTGTAAAGTTGCAAATTGTGTTCTCAAACTACAGAGGAATTAAGTGTTTCACAAGTTTGCTGGTACGGTAGTTTATGAGGTTTGCTTAACGAATCCATCTTTGTTGCAAGCTTTCACCACGAGAGTATAGTGGGGTACCTCCAATTCATTACATTTTACCTTTTTGGATGAGTAAAGGAAAATGGTAGGCGATCACTTGAACAATTTGTTTACTGCCTGCGTTTTAAAACTCGGGTAACCTTCCGGAACGCGTTTATTTATTCTAAACAAAGTAAAGGACCATTAGTTGAGCTACCGCCAACGAAACTTTTGCCAGATCTAGCTTTCAATATTTCACAAACATACAGAGGATATTTTTATGTTGTTTGACGTTTTAGGGTGGAATGGGGGAAATGGGACGTCCGGGCCCAAAAGGCGATCGTGGTTTTCTTGGACCCAAGGGAGACCGAGGACGGAAGGCAGGTGCACTTTAACTTTACACTTATTATCGCATTCAAAATCAATATGACTCTGACTGCGGCTTTAAGTAAAAAATACCTTCAGAAGTTGTTTTTACAGAATGCGCCTCGAAATTGCCTCAAGTTTATATATTAAAATAACTAAAACCTAAGTAAATAGCAAATTAACTCATCATCAAATATTATTAATTTATAAAAAATACACATTCAGTTAAATTAAATATTATCATCAAATATTAAATAAATATTAAAAGAAACCAAAGTTCGCTTTAAGGTTTTGGGAACTCCAAAAGAGATTTTTAGCCAATGCTTTCCCTTAAATTCATAACTGGTCAACATCATAAAAGAAAAAAGAAATTTTTCTATTGCGCAAACTTTGCCGACGTTCACTAGCGTTTTGGAAAAGGTTTTTTGAAGAAAGAACGCCCAATTTATCGAATTTGTAAAAAATGCATGGCGTATTTTCCTGTTCCAGTTGGAGTAACGTTTTCTGCAGAAGCAAGGTTTTTTGTTTTATGTGGGCTGAACCGTGAAGATTTTTAATTTTGAAAATATTTGGTTATATATATTCAAATCATCTGCTGATATTTACTATAAGATGTGATGTTGGGTTTTGCTTCCAGAAAGTGAACAGCCACAATTGCTTCAAGATCAGCACCACATGTGTTTATTATGAGTTAAAGCTATTAGCCTCTCTTCAGGTGTTTTTATCCGGGCGAGTGTCTCTTCTTTAGTCAGTATGAACTTTCAAAATCTTGTTCAAACTGCCTCGCAAAAATACAGCCCTCACTTCAGAAGCCCGCAGTTATTTCATCATTTTGCGAATGGATGACATACCCTTCGAAAAAATCATCACTCCATTTCTAATGCGAGGCGTCCTCCTTAAATTAATTACTCAGGCAGCTATTTGTTTTCCACAAATGTAACATAAGTTTGATATTGAATCTAAAAACATATTTCATCCCTGAAAATGCGCTTAACACTAGCCGGGCTTTTAGATGCCGAAGTTAACAAAATGAGATTTAGAGTCCTCGTAGAATCAAATGAATTTGTCAAACTTCGCTTATTTTACCCTTTTTTGTCAAAAAATTTTATATTGTTTACTTCCTTTACAAAAGTTCCAGTAAAACGTCCCCTTGGGGACAATTGTACCCAACATTTCGGCGGTGGTTGAATGTTGCGATCTCACTGCATGCTCATAACTAATTTGTAGGTGGATTAATTAATATTGAGATATTACTCAAATTCTCGATTTTTTTCAGGGAAAGAAGGGCGAACTGGGGTACCCGGGACCCCGAGGCGAACCCGGTCCGCCAGGACCCCTTGGCGAAAAAGGCCTACAGGGAGAGGATGGTCCAAAGGGTGCTCGCGTAAGGACATTTATTCTCTCAGAAAATGAACCAAAGGAACTAGTTTCAATTATCCACATTATACTAATGCAAGAATCCTTTGATGTAGAGCTATGCGAAGATAAGTCCTGATTATGGACTTCGAGAGAACACCCATCATTAATCGGACCTTTTTCAAACTAGTCCGACATGATACTTCAATTAGACCTCTAAGCCAGACAGGAAGTCAACCGGAAAAAACGAGGGTTTGTTGACTAAAAAGTTACTTTGAGGCAGAGAAGAAGCGTTCAAATGAGTGAAGTATCTTTATGTACTTGTTTGCATTGCCCTTCCGACGTGTCTCCTGCCTTGACGAGTAGCCGTGCTAGCAAAAGATTCGGGTTCTGCGATTGAAGAGTGCATAAATCCGATGGCCTTTTCGGTCTTGTTCTCTTCATGGAACATGAACATATTTGGCACGATTTTCCCGGTTCCGAATCACGCAAACTTCTGCCAAATTCCTCACATTTTTCCAGACATCAACCGGTTTTCCGCTAGGGGGCAATAATGATGAATGATATTGCCGCACACATGGAACATTACTACCTCTGGGAAGGTCAATATGGACATAAACGCACTAGGTTTCTCAACTTCTAATTTTATCTTTCGGCGAAAAGTGTAGCCTACTTTTGTAAATAGGGGAAAAGCCGAACTTTGCAGGCAGGCTTAGCGAATTTACGTGTGTGTAATTTTACCCCCTTTTTACCGGAATATCGATATCGGTGCATCTAGATTAAAACGATTTTTGCGAAATATTGAAAAATTAAAATCAAAAAACGTGTTTTGACGGACTCGGAGCTGATCAATAAACAGCCTTCGATAAAAAATTAATAAAAATAGATGAACAAGTGCTGGCGGCAGTGAGTTCCCGCGATTCTGACCATTGTCTCTTTACTGATGCCGGGCTTTCCAGTGACGAATGGAGCTTATAGGTATTCTCCCTCCCCACTGAAGTAGGTGTCCACACCAAATTTAACGTGAAGCTGCATTTTGGCCGCATCATGGTAACACTGCTGCATTCGTTGGAATTCTTGCGATATACACTTTTGTCTTCAATTATCATCGTGATATTTAATGTGAGATCTTTCCTGAACTCGTCCTTCAGAATCATATTTAAGTAGGAAAATATGAGAGGCGTGATAGATTGAAGCTCTTCAAGGGGTTTAACTAATTTTTATAGTTTTGCTGCTCAGTCGTTAACCAAACAGTATTTTATTTACGCTTTTCTTATCTTGCCACCTACTCCCCTTGTGTAAGTAATATCCTCATATAGAACGCTCATAGAAATTTGGGATCAATTTTTTCTCGGTTGCTCATATGTCAGTGCTGAGGTTATTGGGTTGGGCTCAATGTTTTTTGTTGGGTGAAAGTCTTCGTTTACATTTATCCTAGGCACATACAGATAGGGCAATTTTTTAGGACACATTCCGACTTAGCATGGTTCCACCAACTCTCATGTTTTGAGCCACTATTCAAGTATTTTTGACTCAGTACAGATGACGGCATTCCAGGGTTTGTAAGTGCGAGGAGGAGGTGGCTTAGGAGATTATAATCCAGATCAACCAGAAATTGCAGTTGGACGTTTTTCGAAATAAAACAGGTACTTTATCCATAGAAGATACGGTTCCGACCGTTTGCGCTTAACTTTGAGCACCTCTCGGATAGTAAGTTTAGCGCCAATATAAACGATTTTGTCAAGTTTTTCCATCCTCGACATTAGTTTCCAGAAAGGAATTCACGATCAACTGTCTTCTCCTCTTTTCTGTTACTTTCAAATATTTCCGGCAGCATTTTCATGTTAGAAGTAAAATGCATCTGTCAAGCGCTTTCAAACCCAATAAACTTTGTAAGTTTTCTTTAAAGTAATGCAAGAACGGTATTCAGGAACAATCAGAATAACTGCCAGTTTGCTTGGCTTCAAATGCGGCCATTTTTTGGCAAATATGACAACTTGCTGGCTACCACTATGAGAAAAATTGTCGGATTGCAAACGTTTTGCCGGACCAAACCCAGGCAGAAAAGCATTTGAAGCCCGGTAGAAATAACGCGGCGGAGTTCGATATTTTATAGAATGGAATCCGTTACTTGTTAATAAGGGTGATTCCTGCGGTCTCCACTTAATTTAATCCCATTGGTCGGTTTACTTTGATCTGCCGAAAAAATTCATTTAGGGGCAACCACGTGCGCTCTGCAGAACGGAAACTGACAGCTGAAACGGAACTGTGCAACACCCTATTTTCCGTCTACTTACAAGGTGGTATGCAAGGCGTGATAGTCTGTAAAGCGCGGCTGCGCTAATCACCCCCGAAAAGTTCCCATCGTGGTGGCTAAGACGGTGGGTGGTAAATGTCAAGCATGTCAAAATGTCCATGGTCTCCTTATGATCAGCAGTAACGTGTTTATGTTTTGTTCTGGAGATGTAAAGTAGGCGGAGCAGAAGGGGGAAAACAATGAAAACAGGAAGTAAAAGACATGAGTGATTTCCTTCTTGCTTTAGTTTGCCTTAGTGCGTTTGAGTGCTCATGCAGATATTCGGGCATTTGTATTGGAGCGTGAGCTGACCTTGATGCCACCTCTTCGACTAATAACATCTGAGTTTGTGAACTGAAGGTCAGGAGGGCAGGTGCTATGCGTTTAAACGTCCGATGGTTTGTACAATTTGTTAGCACGACAAATTTACGTAAATCCAATGATGAATATTTAGCCCCATCACTTTTTGAGACCATTACTTAAAATGCAGCAGAATCTCGTAATAATTTAATGAGCTTGGACTTCGTACGTGATCACAAGACGCGGAGATGCTTGACTACTGCTTTATTGACCAACTTAAACAGAAGTTGATTCAGTACGTATTTTATATTGTGTTTTAACATGTTTGCTTCCTTTTAAGGGTCCTACTGGCCAAATGGGACCTCCGGGTGTGGTTGGAATTCGTGGACCCCCAGGCGCCCCTGGAATGCCCGTAGGTGCATTTATATCGTTCAACTATTCAGTTTCTATATGGGTAAACTCCCATATCAAGATCACTTTCCAAACAACCCTCACTAAGTTTTTAGCAAACACTGGTCTACAACATTGGAAGTTTTGGTTCATGGAAGCTTTTCTAACGAATGTACAAACAGATTGAAGATGAAAGAGAGGAAAGCGTTAAATCCCACTCACCTGTGGTAGGAAATTGATTAACTTTTTCTATAAGCGGTAGAGCTTTTATACTAATATGCACTTGGTATTTACCTAGGAAAGATTGCCTAAATACTGACTGTAGAAGACTTTATGTCAAAGGCTTGTCATTCTCCCCTTCGTGATGATGGCTGGATTCGGAAAATAGCTGTAAAATTGAAAAGAATGTCCTTTGAGGTGTGGGAGACAAGATGATTTCACTGAAATAAAGTCGCCATCTCTGTGGCGACGAATAAACCCCGAGCAATTGGTATCCTTAAAGCTAATTGTTAAATGTCAAGCCCAGTACAAGAAAGAAGGATTTAGCAGTTTTTTTAAATAAATGGAGGCTTTGTAGACTTGCGACCTCGTAAAAATTCGATTCATATAGCGTATGTAAGTAGCGTTCCGCATACTTTTAAGATATTTCAATCACGTTGGATTGCTGACCTGTGAACGAGCTCTTTGTGGTAGCGTGCAAAATCTACGCACTGTAAAACAATGAATCGCATTTGTCTCAAGGATATTCGTTGTCGTTATTCATTCAATTGTATTTTTTAGACAGTATGCACAAAATAAGCTTTCTCATATATTCTTGGTAGCAATTTACAGCATCTTTAGTTTTTTATTTGGAGATTTGGCTTTCTCGAAGTCGAAAATTGAGTTCCCGAGGAAATCTAAAAGCAATATCTAGCAAAAACACACAAGAGGCACTGATGAGCCGAACCACTTTTAGCTGTTTGAAGCAGCGGCAGAACACCAGCAAAACACGTGTCTGAGTTTCAAGATAGTACCTTTGCTGTCACTTTGAGAAATACTTTCATAGATTATACTACTGACTGCCCGATGGCAGCTTGTGAATATTAAGGGGTTATCCCGCAGTGACTCATGGATATCGGCCCAAATATTTACAGCAAATTTCGGTCTAAACCTGTAGATCTTGAATACGCAGATCTACTACATGTTAAAAAACCTAAACTCTGAAGGAATTGAAAAGTCTAAATTGTTTTTTTAGTTTAACAATCTTTCTAAGACTGACAAATTTCCATTCAAGATGTATCTTATTCCCCAGTATTAAGTATAGAAAATCATCCATATTCATTACAACATTTTATGAGCACCATGGGGCCTCTCCCGCATAATTTTTTGATTTTCGTTAGACTGAATCCTGTAGTTTGGAAACCCCTGGATGCAAGCGTACCTGCAGATTGGATTAAAATCATTCTGAAATCTGACGTATTTTTAAAAAAGGAATCGACAACAGTTCGTTTTTTGCGAATACAAAAGTGCGAACAAGACACAATGGGCTACGAAGTGCCCCTAGAAAGGATATTTACATGCGCATTTTCTTTAAAAGTCATGTACACTTATAAAGCCATCGAAAGGCAATGATAGAATGTATACTATCTATGATGTCCGTTTTTTCAGTGTGTAGATTATAGCAAGCGGCCGGTAATCAGCTCAACAAACCAGCATCTTGCAGTTTCTGAAATATCTTTGGTTTAGGCTACAAGGGGATTAATATTTAAATCGTGCCTTCGTAATCCTTTCGAATGAAAAACGCAGTAGACAATTTTGGTTGGCCTGTCCTGAAATAGCAATAGCTGAAAGTTAATATAGAGCTTCCTTGTGGCGAGAAATGCAGGATATCACAAAGTTTTCCCTGAAAATTTTAGCATTTAATGCCCAAATACACGGATAGTGGCATTACTTTCTCTGAAATTTATTAAATGCTCACACTGAGTAGACTGAAATCTTGAGGTTCAATGCTAGTAGTAACAGGAAAAAAAGGGGACGCTATAACTAAAACAGGAATTATATCCACCTGATGGCCTCATTTAGTGGGTTGGCATATGATCCCGAAACGTTATACGAAGGGCATTCCCAGTCTAGCGACAGCGTCCCCTTCTTCTGGACGATACCATCTTTTGTCG